TTTTTTTTATAATATTGTTATATTGACCAAATATTGATGCTCAAGGACTTACAACTTTTTGGATCATTTATAAATTTTGCAAATATTTTTGATAAATAGTTTTTAATTTTCCAAACTATCAAAAACTAATATTACTGTAGTATTAAATTGTAAATATGTTTAGACTGTTTTATTTCACAAGTTTATTTCTTTTAATATTTCCCAAATATTTTAAAACTCACCAATTGTAGCACATGCATTTTGTTATTATATTTATTTTTGGTTCACTTTATCACTTGCACAAATGTTTTTCTATTTACTTGGCCACGTGGTGTACTGAAACTTTAGAGAGCTGAGCTCCCAAATCCTGGCGCGCTCTCGAACAGATGATTTATATGTGAGTGTGTGTGTATTGCTTAACGTGTCGCTGGCAACAGAATTGAAAACACGAATGTGCTGCTCAGCCCTGTGGCACGGGTATTTATTTGAAATTCGTTGGAGCTAGAACCAAAGCCGAAACCGAGCTCGAAAAACTCACACAGAGAGACGCACTGAAGCGAGATGTGGAGCTGGCGGGTGGCGGGGGCTATGCTCTATGTAGATCTAAATAAGCCCTGGTATTCGTGGTTGAGGTGTTGGCATTTCGTTAAAGCTGGGGCTGTGGCTGCGACTGTGGCTGTGGCTGCGACTGTGTGTGTGTGTGAGTGTGAGTGTGGCTGTGGCGCCGTTTTGTCACTTCACCTGCAACAACACCTTGGGTGCGGGCCAAAAGCCAGCCTGAATGGGAATCGACACAGAGTCGGCATTGTGAATCAGTTTTCGTGGTTTTCATGGTCAGTTTGGCATTCGTAGAATGACAGGAGGATGTTTTGTTGCGCACCCACCTACCTGTCATTATTTTTTGGCGGCTAATTAATACACCTCGTTGCTGTTTCTCGTGCATTGCGTAATGGCCAATGCGAATTCCTTCCAAGTCTCTGACTCACATCGACTGGATAAATCTTGGATTAAAGGCGTGAAATTAGCATTTGCTAATTGCGCTAGATTCAAATTCATTTTTCGGCTCTTACATAACCCAAGACCGTGACCATGAAAAGGGTTTAGGCACAAAGCTTAACAAGACCACCGGATGGAATCACTTAATATATGTAGTAGATCTACAGATGACACTGCTGTATGCTCTTATGATCATAAATAATGAAGAATATACTGAATGAGAATTGCATAGAGCGGCGATATTTTAATGAGAGAGATTGAGATGACCTTAACGAATTGGCTATAGAAAAAGGCAGGAATAGAGAACAGAAGAAATAGATGGGATGAGAAGCTACATAAATAAATTATGAAGAGAGGGCAGCATAAGGGAAGAAACAAACACAAGAAAAATGAGAAGAGTTAAAGGACAAAAATGCGGAGTAGGAACGAGTCAAGAGACAAGAAACGATAATACCAAAGAGTAAATATGTTATGTAAATAAATTAATATTTATTTTTTTATTAATTTCCTTCATTTATCTAACATTTTTAGACTACCTCAGATTACACAAAAAATAATTATAGATAGATATGTCTATATAAGCTATATTCTAAAAAATAATCCAAATAAAATACTCAACTTCCATGTCTAAGCTCAACAAAGAGATTGTGATAGCTGGAATGCTCTCGGCTAGAGCAGCATTACGAATCTGGTAAAAATATCATTTGAACTTTACGCTAGAGTGAAGTAAAAGCCCACAGCTGCTCCTGCGGCTGTTTGGCGACGTCATCTTCTGCTTCTTCTTCTTCTGYTACGTCGTCTGCATGTGCACTGAACCCCAAATGGAGGTCGTTGGCATTCACTCAACTCAGCTCAACTCAACTCAACTCGCATAAGTCCGCGCATCTATAAAATTTACAACGGCGACAAGTTTAATTAAACGATTTAATTTTGTTTATCTAATGCGAGCAGACGCAGTTTATATGTATATATATATATATAGGTATATGATACAATATGCTAAATATGTTTGGTTTGTATTTCTCGTTTGCTTGTGTTTTGTTGTTGTTTTTGTTTAAGATTGCATCTAGTTTGCTTCATGGAAGAACAATTCGTCATACGATTACGCAGACGTTTACAGAGTAAAGTTAAGTTTAAGTATTAGTTAATTGTCTAGGCATCTAAGAAACAGATTCAACAATTATGCTAGTTCAACGATTGGCTAAATACAAGTTATTGTCACTTTGTGGCTAACTATATGGTATGGTAGGCAGAGGCCTGAATGCCCTTAAGGATATCACGAGTGGGCCATTGCGGCGGCAATCTCGTCCCGAAAGGCCAGAAAACCCAACTGGGCATGCGATGCCTCATTCAATGCACGCGAACGTATACAGGCACGATACTGATCCGCGCTCAGCGAACCCGTGCAGATCTGGAAGAGCAAATCACAAATATCACTTAGCATTGGTTTAGCAAGGGGACTACTCCATACCGCTCACCTTTGTGTGCCAGCGATGAAAGATGCCCGGATCTGTTGCCCTTACGATCTTAATTTTCGATCGAACATATTTGCGATAGAGCATCACGTCCTCACCGCCCCAGCCAACGATTTCCTCGTCAAAGCCGCGTATTTGTAGGAAATCCGAGCGGTATTGACAGGTCATGCCGTAGCCAAAGTCACGCCAGAAGCCCGTATCTCTGGAGATGACCAGCTGCTCCTCCTCGCTGGGCAGCGCTTTGCCCTGCAGCGTGTAGACAACGTGCGGATTGTAGAGGCTAAATACCACGGGATAGTAGACCTTCAAGTGGAAACTAGTTAGACCAATTCCCTTTCTACTTTATTCTCTACTTCCACTCACCTTCTTTCCAGGCGCCGTGTTCCAGCGACAGCGCTCCAGAAATTTGGCTGTAAACACAATGTCCACATCGCACATGAAGAGCAACGGGTCCTGCTGCATTGCCTTTGCTGCCTCTGGCTGAATGTGCTCGGCGCCCAGTCGCAAGGCCTTGGCTGTAAAGAGATATTAGTTGGTTGTCTAAGAGAGATCCTTGTAGCTGTCACTCACCCCGGCTGAATGTCTCGTTCAAGGCCACGAGCTGCACGCGCTTAGCACCGCCTGCAATCAGCTGCGCCTCCTTAAGACCCGCCTCGCCAAAGTAGACGACGACGAGGTGCAGTCGCTGATCCGCCAGTTTGTTCAGCATCTGCACAAAGCTGCGAAAGCTGCGCAGGCGTCCAGCGAGTGGCACGATGACATGTATAGTGGGGCTGGCGGGCACTTCGGACAGCTGCACCGTCTGCAGCGGAGCAAAGGGTCGCATGATGAGCGCTT